TTTATTTTTGTTTTTGACTAGTACCTGAATATCCGGTTTTTACCAATTACGACAGTTTTGATGGTGATGGTCCAGAAAGTTGGATAAATATGAACGAAGATTTACCACCAAATTTAATGACTATAGATTTAAGTTCATTTGATTCCAGTCAATTACGTCCAACACCATTACCACTTTTAAATTCGAATGGAGCACTTAATGAACTTGATGTAAATACACGAATGAAAAATTTTCAAGATTATAAACAACGTTGTCAAATGATAGAACGTTTATCATGGAATGATAATCAGAATGATAATAATAATTGGTAAATATTGTTTTTATTATTTTTTTTCATCTATTTTTTTTTAAAGGAATAATAGTGGTGGTTGGTCGAATCCCGATAATGAAAATCAAAATCAAAATAATAATAATCTTGATTTATCTCAAAAACAATCATCATTACCTAATGATAATAATCAATGGAAACCTCCACAAACATTAGATGCTGAAACAAATCCAGCTATTATTTATGCTAAAGCAAGTAGTGAATATCATATTGAATATAATCAATATACAACTGCATTACAACAAGCTATGCTTGCACAACAATCAGGTGCACAAATAACACCAGAACAACAACAATATTTAATTGTATGTTTATTATTGAATCTTTTTATGACTTTTTGTTTTATTCTTTATAAATAAGGCATTTCAACAAAAATTACAAGTTAAACAACAACAACTTCAAGTTATGCAACAAGCAGCTGCTCTAACAACAGCTTCAACACAAAATGTATGGCCTCAACAACAAACCAATATAAAACCACAACCAACGAATGATTTATCTAAAACAGTTACTGATGCTCAACAAGCATGGATGCAACAATGGTTAATACATTTTTAAATTTTATAATATTGTTTTTTGTTTTTAATATTAGGATGAATGCTGGTTATGACGTATCACAAATTGCAGCATATCATCAATGGTATAGTTTTAATTGAATGAAACACAATTTTAAAAAAGAATTCTAAGTAGAAATTTACATCCCACAAGTTGTATACTAATAATTGCTCGTTAAAATATATTAATTATTTCTTGATTGAGTAAAAAGAAAATGAAATATTGTTGTATATGATGTCATTTATCATCGTATTCCCATGGCTTTCTTTTAAATAAGAAGAGAGAGAGATGACTTTTTCTTTTTCTTTTGCTTTCATAATTAAAACAGTATTTACTGTTGCAATACTTGTTGATCTTAACTTAAAAAAGAATTAATTTTCCTAAACTGATTGTTACAGTTGAAGTAGTTATGAAATATTTTTCACGACCTTGAAGATCACAGAAAAAAAAAATTATATTTGATGTACTTAATTAAGTAAATTATGTTTGATATAATTACTTAATAAAAAAAATTATCGTATCGGATCTGGCAAATGTGATGTTATATTGATGCATTCTATTATTGAATAATTGATAAAATATTGGATAACTATGACGTCACTAGGGTCATCATGCATTTTTGTACTCTTTGCTTCAGATATTTCTACTTATTTCGAAATTTTATTGACAAAAGATTTTAGACTTTCGAATACAATAGTTGTAATCTATAGAAAGAAGCTTATATCGTACAGATTTATATATTAGTGTCCAATCTTAGATCTATCAAGGTCAAGCTGAGATTCGCCTCAAATTTTAAGACGAATCCTACAGAATGATCTGAATTAATGTCCGCTCAATGTAAGATCCTAGATTGGTCTAAGTGGATCTGACGAGAAAAATCCTTCAGCTTTTGAATTACTTTTAAATCGAGAATATGTACATTTTGTAGATGCAAGTCAGCTGTGAACACCATAACAGGAAATCTAATTTTCGACTAGAAACTTTTTATAGAGACAAATCTTGACAAAAAAAATATCGTTTACATCAGAAATATAAATCAACAGATTTAATGATCGTAAAGTCTCGATTGGAAAATGATTGAACAGTTGAAATGATTAGAACTTTTAGTCAATTCTAAGTATCGGCTGTCAAGTATTATAGGATCTATCAGAATTCTAGATAGACTATTCTTTCCTTGTATTTCATTCTAAGGTACTTTAACACTTTTCTCAATATTCATTCATTCATTTATGTATCTTTCAGGTATGCACAAATGCAAGTAGCTGCATCATTAGCCGCATCGGCAGCTATTTCTCAAGCACAAATTCCAACGACAACTACTACTTACAATGGAATACCTGTGAGTAAAAACTAATGTCTAATAAATGCGTATAGAATATACATTTTGGAATAATTTATCGACATTTAATAATGAATATGAAGAAAGGAAAATTTTACATTAAATATTGATTATAGAATTTTATCTTTCTGTTTGAAAAAAGAATAATAATAATAATAAACTTAGTTATGTGTTAGTGTTGCGTCCTACTTCTTGTTTCTAGCATGGAGTACCTTGATCACAGACACACACACACACATATGTATGAAATATTAACTTTAAACGCCTTATTTATGTCGTATGTGTGAACAACAATCGATGATGGTATACATGATTATTGGCTATTGTTGTAAGTTTCTCAGTTAAGATAAGCTACAATTTCTAATTGGGATTGGAAAACCAAAAAACAAAAAAAAACATAATTTTGCTCTGATTCGAATTATAGAAAACAAAAATCCTAAATCTTCTTCATTCTTTCTTTTTTTCTTTTTTTATAATTCCAAGAAATTCTACTGCGAAAAATAAACAAAGTTAAGAAAGTTGAGAATAACCTTGCGTCTATCCTCCTCATTTTATTAGTGCCATTTGCAGACCAATACGTAATACATACACATGCTTGCATCTATCAATGATCAACTAAACATCATCGTCGCATCAATTCAATTGTCAGGTATCAACTCAAGTGACTTTAAAGTCTTTAAAAAAAAGAAGCCAAAAAGAAAAAAAAGGAAAGATTAATCGAAATATATCAATTGATTAATTCAATAAGAGATCTTTTTTTTTTGTTATTACTGATAAATTATAATATTTATAACAAGACTAAGTTATCAATAGAATTTATTTATTTTCATCAAAAATTTAATTCATGTTTAGAATAATACTAATCAACCATCGACAGTGACTATATCAGCACCTCCGACTGTTTCATCATCAACAGCAAGTGCAGCACAACGTGCTTATGCTGCATATAGCAATCGAACATCAACATCATGATTTTGAAATATTTTGTTTTGTTCATATATATAATAGTGAAACATTCCTAAGATTTTCTTTTTTGTTCTACTGTTTTCCATTGTTGTGCCCACAATCGATTTACTCTTCTTATATTTGTGTATTGCGTTTTCTTTTTCGTATATATATATATATACATGAAATAAAAAACAAACGAATATATGTGACTAGAATTGAGATCCAATTGTCATTAAATTGAGAGCAATAACGTATGATAATAAGAATAAACGAACGAAAAAAAAAATGAAATGGAGTAATGCAGAAGAATTTGAGCTTTTGAAAATGTCACATAGACATATTCATTTCAACTAGCTACTGTCTTCGTCAATGAAATTGTATAGATGATACTTTTTTTTTTCTAGGATGTCTAGAAATATAGAAAAAGTTCAAAATTATCTAAATATAATGACAAACAACAACGATCAACAGTAAGTGTATATAGATATAATAATGAAAATTTCAATAGTTTATCATTGATTTGTTTGTTTATTCAAGAAAACAAGCATAGGCGGACATGAGTTAGTTATGATTGTTTTCTTAGAGATTCATTGATTTATATTTGTTGTTGACTTTTGATTTGCGTGTTAAGTCGTCTTTACGAAAAGAAAAAAAAAAAAAAAAATCTTACTCAATTGTCTAATATTGTTCATCGGATAATTGAAGATATGTATTTATGCATGTTCGAACAAACAAATCGAAAGATCGATGATGGCACTCACATTCAATTAATTCCACTTAATTTGATTTATTCGATTTTTTTTGTATAAGAAAAAGAAAAAAAAAAAAAAGAATTGATGTGAAAATCTCATTATACTTAACGAATCGAACGAATAAGCGACTCTTCCTAACAAGTATTCCATTCTATATGTTATGTTCGCTTAGTTAACATCGAATAACGAATTATCAACACTGTTTACACTTTGTTGATTTGCTTCTCTGATAATTGAATAGGGAAATTGTATGTGTCTATGTGTATATATTTAGATGTGAATTACTCTAAATATGGGCGGAACAGTTGATAATGAACAAGAAGAAAATTGTATCTGTCAGAAGATTGAGATCAAATATATACATATTCAGTTATTTTAATCATTATTCAAGAATAACAATAGATCTGGCATGCAGACAACTTAAATAATAAGAAAGATGTCAATAGAAAACACCATATATTACACAGATAAAAAAAATAATCTAGAATCATATGATCAGAATATCTGTAAACAGTGTAGAATTTTTTTTAATTTTTGAAAATGTAGTTATCTATCAGAAGACAAAAAGAAAAAATAAAATTGAAAATTTTTATATGAAATCATTGTATAATATCTAAGCTTTTTTGTTTTACATATCACATTCTTGAGAAAATTTAAATACAAATGAAACTCTATCATCTATTTATTCACTGTAAAGCTCTATTTGAAATTGTATTCAAAGAAAAAATTCATTTTTAAAATTTCATACATATGATCAAATCTCATCAACTTATCACTGAAGATATACTATTAAATCAATTTCAAATAGTACTACTTTCAATTAGATGAGAATACAGAGATTTGTAGTCTTTGTTTCTCTCTAAAACTTTCTAATTAGTCTTAGGATTATTAGATGAGCAGTTCTTTGCAGCGTTGTAATGTTTATTCATTGTTGGAGAAGAGTACATAGCCCGTTCTCGAAACATTCATGCTAACAAAGAAAGAGCACTATCAACTTACAACCAATATGCAGCGGGAAGGTGAATGTTTTTAAAAAAAAGCATTTCAACTGTGGAAGAGGGAAGGATATGATCACCTACATTGCTTTGAACCATCTCTAGCTTGAAATCTTGTCTTCATCACTGTAAATATTCAGTTTATTTTTTGTATTTCGAAATCAATTTTGATTTAAACAAAAAAATTTTTGTTTTTTTGAAAGTTTATACGGAATATGTCCTTTAGAAAGATAATTATTTTTCTTTTTTTTGCAAGCGCGACTAGTTCTGAGAAGAAAATTCCAGCCAATCAATATAAATCATATATTTTTTTCTTGTCTTATTTCTATTCTGATTGGTGAAATAGAAAATTTTCCCTATGAGAATTAGTATGGAAAAAAAAAGAAGAAGAAGAAGAGATTAGCAAATGTGTGAATAATTATTGAATGATGATTGATTTGTCATTTTGTTCATATGATTGACGAATGTTAACATGGTAAGTAAGAATTTTTTGTATTTTATTTTATTTTGTTTCTTTTTTTTTCTAAATGAATAATTTTTCTTGCGTAATAAATAATGTAGTATTATGAAATCTTTGCATGACTCTCCTACTTTTTTTTTTCATTTATATATTTAATTGATTATTTAACAACAATAACACATCTATTGAGTTTTTTTCTCTCTTCTTTCGTCTCACATGAGTATCTTTGTTTTTCGATCTGGTCATATACAAATGTTCACTCAAGCATAGCCGAGAAAAAGAAGAAGAAAAAAAAAATGACCCTTTCCCCTTCTTATCATCGTCGTCTTTCGTTGAGTGAACATTTCTTACGCTAATAAGAGGAGACTCTTCGCGTTTTTCTTTTTTTTTTTTTTCTTTATATGTGTCTCAACCGATTTATTTTACATTTTTTTTTACGTAAGAGAATTCTCTATCATCAATTTTAACCAAAAAAAAAAAAAGAAAAAGATCTTCATTTTGTGCGTGTCTTATTGATCAGTATAGACTCCCTGACGTGATAATCGTTCTGTATATATTGTTCATTTTATTGAAGGGCGGTAATATGAAAGTCTTTTAAATAATGAAATTAGCTGCAATTGAAAGTAGGAGTATGAATAACAGGTGGTTAATGATTGCTTTAACTTGTAAGCAATCACTATGATGAAAAAAAAAAAAGGAGAAAAAAAAAAAAGAAAAAGAAGAAATTCTATTGTCATACATTTCATTTATTGTTATTTTCATTTTATTTTTTACTTTCTTCATATCTAGATCGTTCATCAAAAGAGACGTTCAACAAATTATATTCAACAATCTTTGGTTATTGGAAAAGATACAACAAATCGAGTTTTTCGTCATAGAATGCAACATATATATGCAAATGATAATTCATTACCTCAACATGATACAGGTAAATTTTATCTTTTATTTCTTTTGCTATCTAATTGTCTCTTTCTTTGTTCTTCTAAAGGATAATAAGGAGGTTAAACTAATTCATCTATAATTTTTATTTATTATTCGATTAAAAGAACTAGAAATATGTTTTTCATGATAATTTAACTTAAAGAATAAAAAACATCGATGAATATGCGAGATATTATATATATATAGAGAGAGAAAGTTACGAATAGAGCAAGTATGTCGGGTCTAGAACAGCACATTCTCACTATTGAACTTGAGATCAATTATCGAGACATATTTGTCATCTTTCTCATGAGCAAAGTCATATACGATTATCATCGAGTCCGTACTTTGTTTTTGTTAAAGATAAATTCATCGATTCGAATGATTGTAACTATTTCTAATTTTAATCTTGATAATCTAATACAATCTTTTTTTTTTTTAAAGAAGGGTAACTTATCTTTCATACTAATATTTAGAGTTGTATACACAATCGACTCATCTACATCAACATCCTATGCATCATCATTTACAATATCAACATGAAAATCCTTCTCTTTCACCTCAACAATCATCAACAAGTGATGCCGATGAAACATCAACACCACCACCATCACTCAATAGAGGAGTAGTATGTCTCTTTGACAGTTTTTTTGTATTCAGTTAATTACGTCATACAATTTTATTTTATAGAATGTTACGGTTGCTGCTAAAATAGTTAAGAAAAAAAAACAACCAAAAAAGAAACGTAAAGATCCAAATGAACCTCAAAAGTAAATAAGAAAAAAAAACACATTATTAATTTAAAATATATTTATATATGTAAAATGATTATATTATTAGACCAGTTTCTCCCTATGCACTTTTCTTTCGTGATACACAGAATGATATCAAAAAGAAATTAGCTAATCCATCATTTGGGTAAGTTTTAGAATTATTAAAAGTATATATATATATCAATAAAATAAAACAAAATTCTAGAGAAATTTCAAAAGTTGTTGCTCATATGTGGGAAAATATTGAACCAGAAGTTAAAGAAGTAAGTTATATTATATTATATTATTTATTATTACTATTTTATTTTTATTAGCAATATAAACGTAAAGCAGCAGCAGCTAAAAAAGAATATCTTAAACAATTAGCTGCATATCGTGCTGTTCAAGTTTCACATCAAGTAAATTGATAATTTTTTCTTTTAAATAAAAATTTCATAGTCAATTTTCATCTAGACACCTACTATGCATCATATACTTGGACAAAATACATTATCATTTGATCCAAATTCAATGCAAATACCAACATCAATTCAACATCAACAAAAACAATATAATACATCAGGTATTGGTGGACCTATGATGAGTGATAATAATAATTTTTTATCACCATCTCATCATCATCATCATCACCTTGCATCTTACAATCATCATCATCATCACCATCATAATCTTCAACAATATTGTCCTCCTCCACCACCACCACCACCTCCTCCTCCGACGTCAATGCAACAACAATTTAATAATTATCATTATATGAATACATATTCACAAGATACATCACATGTTTATAATCCATCCGATTCACAAATACATTTTTCCAATCATCAACATCATTTTGATACACAACAAACATATAATACTTATGATTCAAATAATAATTTTGGAGATCAACAACAATATGGTCTACTTCGACCAGCTATTGAATCTGAACTTTATTCATCATATTATACACAATCATCAAATGATGTTGATCATTCAACTATTGATCAATCATCCATATCATCAATAGCAAATGAAAATTTATTACATAATTTAAATAATAATAATACAACATCAACAAATAATAGTAGTAATAATACACCACATTATACGGATTTAACAGCTATGCCAATATCAACAACAAATGGAATTATTGAAAAACATTATGATTTTGTTAGTAGTATTCAACATGGTACAACAACATTGAATGATATTGATAATCATAATAAAGACGATGATCAATCTACATTACCTATAAGCAATGAAAATAATTTTCATTGGAATCAAACAACATGTCTAGCCACTCAGTGGTGATTCATACACTTTTCTTTTCTTAATTTCTTTTCTTTTCTTTTTTCTTTTTTCTTTTTTGTTGATTCAAAAAAAAACAAATTTAATAAATTAAGCACTTTAGATATCACAATAAGTTTGTTTTTTTTTCTTTCAAATTATTGTATACACTATCGTATTAGAAATTACGTTTTTTTTTTGCATACAGTAGATTTCTCGAGAAAAAATTATTTTGCTCATCGTTTTAACAAAGAATCAAAGGCTGATGGTAGCATTTTTCTTCAAAATATCGATTCTAATGCAAGATTTACTTGTGTACTCAAATATAGTTGTTGTGTTTGAATTTGATTTCATACTAGAGACTTCAAAGGCTGTTAATTTATTTGTCTTCGTACTAATTTGAAATGATTTATAGTCAGTTACAATGTATTAAGGTGATTTATTTGATTTAATTTTGATTTTCGGCTGATTTTAATCATTGTTAACTATCTCTGAGTAAAACTATTCAAAGATACAGGAGATATGAGATATTGTGACTACTAGTTACATAGCTTTCTGTTCTCCTTGTTTTTCATATATTACTCTATTTTATCTTCTTATTTTCTCTTTGTATTTGTTTTCAGTCTTCAATTGTGACTTGATATCTATGTATATCATGATTTATTGAAAAGAAAAAAAGATGTTAGTCAGTTTTGACTAAGAATGAGACAAACAAAGACATTTATAACAACAGAAATAAAAAAATTGTTAGTGCAGCTCCTTTGGGATTAAAATGTAGAACTCACATATATTCTCTAGCTTCATTAAACTAATGCTTGTCCACAAAAAGAATAACCGTAGGTATTTTTAGAATAATTCACGAATGGAAAGAGCTATAGAGCTGCGGTTTTCACCGTTACGTAGATAAATGAATATTCTATATATTTACTAGGACGTGGTGAAAATCCTTGCAGATTTACGGTTTCATCACCACCAATCTTTCAAAGAGCTCATTGTGATTTTTCAGTCTCATAGGAACCTATATATCTAAACCATGAAAAAGATAGGTCAGAGTCTCCCCTATACAATGACGCAAGACTTAGATCTCTAACTTTTTGGGTGAGTGTGGATATGCGATGTGGAGTGTCTGTCTCTTCTACACCATAAATATGAAATCCATCGACCATAGTCCATTGTCACAAAATACATAGAATTGCTTTTTTTTTCAAATCGTAGTATGCTTTCTAATGATCTTCGGTTAATCAAAGTATAGAATGTCATAAAAAGAATTTGAATAGTGTCACTCTGTTTCAGACCTACACATTTCTAAGTCCAGGTGCATATAGTTACACGTACGGATAACCGATGAATGCAGAGAGAAGGCAATGAGTCAGCATCTGTACCAACGTTTTCATACAGATCAAATTTTATTCATATAAAATCAAAAGACGTTGATTTACTCTTCGTAGAGAATCTACCTCAATCAAACAAAATAAACAAATCCCTCACAACTAATGATAAAAATAATCATTTATAAATTTATTTCAATCGATTTATGTGCTTGTGCCGATGCAACAATATTGTCTTTTCATTTTCGCTTGTCTCCAAAACTGGGGTACGAAACCAAGAGTATACAGAAAAGGCATCGTGGCAGCAATATATTGTGGAATACTTTGGCCATATGTGATCCATATACTGGCAAAGATGATAAGCAATACACTACAGGCAATAAACCATAATGGCCAAAGAATATTTGAATGTTGAGGAGCTTTCGATCGTTCCATAAAGAGATATAAAATAACACTGGTATCCAACAAACAATACAATGAAAGGAATCCAAACATTGCAAAAGCACTAGTCACATGAAGAGGACCATTATCATCTAAACTCACGATGGCCATGATCAAAAGAAACACAGATGAGATAAGTGCTGTGGCATAAATAGTGCATAGAATAGCGCGATGAATAATAGATTGAGACTGAAAAAGAAATTGCAATCGACCAATAAGAATTAATAAAAATTGTGAAGTCAAAAGGACAAAACCAGACATAAAATAATTATAAGCAGGACCCGTTCCAAGCACAGAAATATGTGGCAACTTCATTTCTAACCAATCGTTGTCTAGTAATACTTGACGGCATACAAGCAACGTTAGAACGAATGTGATGATAGCTGTGAAGGGCAAAATAGGTAAAGACCAATACCAGATTAGTGTCCCAATTCGAGTCATTTTATGTCGAATAAGAATCTACAAGAATGACTACATATATATGAAGTCATTGAAAAGAAAAGTCATCGAACTCTAAACAGTATGACTTACATACCTATTTGTATAATATCACGAGAATAATACTGTAAGAATATTTTAAAAATCTTATCTTATCGTCCTGACATTACTTTTTTATCATCATAAGTTGTTTCTTGTCATCTTGTTTTGATGAAGACATGGTCATTTCAAAAATATTTTGTGTCATGCTTCTTCATGGTAGAAACAAAGCATAATGCAAATGCAAAAACATTGTTGATTCTTTCTATTCGTATCTATGCTGCAAAGACAATAGTACAATTTAGTTTCTTCTTCTTCATTCTGTAAGCACATGTCTCTACTGCAAATAATATCGTATTGTGTTACAGCATAAGAAAAAGCACTTAAGTAATGTATTGCCACCCTTCAATGGCTTTTTCACTTTATCTCTAGGTTTTTCGGTGGTATGACTATATGAAACGCTTTGAAGGTTTCCAAATTGTTTCGAAAACCCTTTTTTGTCTGGTCACAATACGGTTTCTTCTTAGAATGTATACTGATCAATGATACTCAATCATTATAAACCAATTCCTGAGCAGTTAGCTTACTAAAGTAAAGAAATACAGATGTCATGGGCATCAAAAGTTAGTAGTTCTGATCTTGAAAGATGATCGTTTATCTACGTAATATACAATACAAAATGTTGTTCTAGCTCTGGTGTGTGCCATGACGCTGGTGATGTTGTTCCACCTCCTGCTTATTCAGGAGTATGTAATGATTTGATGTCTGTTATCGACAGTAAATCTAAGAATAAATAAATTCTATATTGAACCAACCATTATATATGCTAGTAACAGAGAGATGCATTTTGAATAGATTTTACATCATTGAAGTGAACTGTCTAAAAACAACAAGTGAGTGTGCGTAGAAGGCTTATACACGCACGCACAGATCCTCGTCCATGCCCAAATGCTCAATACTTTTTTTCGAATTTGTTGAGTTTGTGTAAACAGTTGCTTGTGTGCGAAAGGAAAAGAGTCTCATTCTAAACGTCGAAAAACAGATTAGTTTCAAGAAAGAGCTTCCGAAAATTTGAAGTAACAGTCTAGATTACTGGTTATTATATAGAATGAGAACTGATCGTTGGCAAGAATGATTAAATTCTATCTTTTGTTGTTATCATGCACTTGAGAAATACGAGAACGATTGTGCTAAATAAAGATCACAAGCACAGATAGCAGCGATAATTTTACCCGAATGACGATGTCGCGCAAGGAATGATATTCGTTTGTTGGGTACATCGATCATCAATGGCCGTGTGTTTTGATCAAACATGTGCCGTGATATTAACTGATCGAAGATAATCATGAAATTGTACGCAATAAACTCTTCGGTTAACAAATAAGCGCATATACATACATCATTTTCATTATTGATCATTTCATACATGTATTCTAACAGAGAAGAATAAACTCTTTTTTATGTGTGTGCATACTGTGCCATGCCAATATTTTTTTTAATTTTTTTCTTTAAAAACAAGATATGCATAATTACGTGTCAGAAAACTGATGCGTCAGGGCAAGATATGAATCTTCTTAAGTCTTGATCTGAACACAAGCAAAAGATAGAGCATATGTGGCCATATGACATTATATATTTGATTTTCGATTTGTTATAGAGCAAAAAGTTCTTGAATGATTGAATCTCTTCGCTTTTATGTTGTCACTGTTCAGATTTCGAACACGACGAACTCCTAAAGAAGAAAATTTGCTGGAGACGAATAATATACAATAATACAGTTTTATAGATAAGTACAATCGTTTCGAATCACATAAAATTTTCAGTTCATCAAAATAAATATTAGCATAGTTGATAAAGTAGACAGTGAATCAAATATGAACTAACAATATTGAAGATCAATACTGAAATAAATTATATTCTAAATTGATCTATATAAACCTAACGATGAGCATTAGGGCGCAGTGTAGTCTTCTCATTTAACTTTTTCATTTGATTGAAAACTCTGTCGTTTAGTATCATAGTGAATATTCTACATGCAGCGAAACGAATACATAACTTTTAAACTTCATTGATTTCTGAACTGGAATGGATCATGGATGGACCGGTGCATCATTGTGCAACAAAACTCTATGTTTTAAAATAAAAAAAAAGCTTGGACATGTTCAAGAACAATTCCACTTGGATGCATTTCAAGACTGGTATGATTAAACAGTGATATAGCAAGAGCGGCTCTCGCATTATAAGCGTCTAACCAAACAATGCACTATAGATTCGAAACATTTTAATTTTAAAACGTAAAACTCACTGTACAATACATGCTGGAAAATTTTCTAAAATAGATGAACAATGTTTTTAGACAAAAACAAGATCTTACATGGTCGTAGACTGCTCATTCTCGAGGTTCATCAATCGATTCTTTAAATCCATCAATAGTTCGTGATCGATCGGTAAACGTTTTTCATAAATTGAGATGGCTGTTTGATAGTGTAAAATAGCTTTGACTGCTTCACCCTTCTTTTTTGTATAGAGGTCAGCCATCGATCGATGACTAAGCGCCAGATCAGGATGATATTGGGGCAGTACGTTTATCCACATTCGCAAGGCGTTATCAAGAGCCTCAGTTGCTTTATCTTGATCACCAATCGCAAAATGAGTCAGTCCAATAAGATGTTTGCATTTAGCTATATCCCGATGATTTGTATCTTGTCCAAAACTACGACCATACATATTGTGAGCTTGTTCAAACAGTTCGAGTGCACCGGTAAAATCCCCCAATGC